GGTAATGAGTAATTGAACTGCAGTCAGAGAGTGTGTAATTGAACTGAGTATTATTGAAGTTGAGCACGTGAGAAGTTCGTTGTTATAGCGCGACTGTTGAAATTAAGTGTATAGTAAAGTTCTATTCAGAAAGAATAAACCAGTTTTATTTAAGAAAGGACTTGTGTCGCTAAAGTTTCGTCGGAACGAATTTACGGAAAATTAACTAACGAACAGAGACGTAACAATACATTTTATCATGCATGAAAACACAAACAAGTGTGTAAGTTATACTGTTTCAATGGAACTATAGGCAAAATAGACATAGTAGGTTTCAGTGCTTTAATGGGCTGCAACTACGTGTTTAAAGAAAATGGGATAGCGTTTCACAATCTTACTAACAACACTCCCTCAACCAACTCACATAGCTATGCTTACCTTTATAAGGCATTACGCAAGTGCCTTCAGTGACCTGAAGAAGACCTCAGTATAGAAGCTGAAACGTTGTCTCTCTTTCTTACAACAAGTGTTCTTAGACCTACTATGCAAGTTATAATTTTAAAGATAAAATGAATAAATGTTTATTGAATTTATTTGCTTGTGATTTATTTTGATTGCCTGGTAGTTTTACAGTAATTTAACCCTGAAATTACCAAATTTACTGTTCACTATGAGTCCAGTTATCACACGCAGTACAAAAAATTGACAACAAATACAAGATGAAACCTCTCATTGTCTATATATTTTCTATAGTGGATCGCGGCAGTAATCAGTAAAATTTATTGAGATTTTGATGGTATTTCTCTTTTTTACTGTTATGTGGGACCCTGTAACCAATAAGTTCATGGACTCACAAACAATTTAGTGCATAAAATGTTTTTAAAAAGCAATTGGAGAATACTACAGTTATGAGTTAACAGAAATTGTGAAAACTATATAAAGTTACAACAACTGCGTGGATGCACCAAGAGTGCTTTTATACTGTGGTGTTAATAAGTGATATCCAACGGACTGTTAAAAGTATCCACAAGAATGTAGATTCCTGAAATTTTAACCTATGACCAACAAGGGATTATTGGTCTTTCAAGGCTGTCCTAGCATATTGTTGCGTCAGCGAGGTCACGTGACTCGTTCTCTCGAACCTTCGGGAATTGTCGGGAGATTACTAGATATAGGGTAGTCTGGTATATATATATAAGAGGGTGACAACGTGACGTGACAATAATGTGTGTGCAGGTAGTGAGTAATTGATCTGCAGTGAGAAAGTATTGTTGAAGTAGAGCTCGTGAGACGTGAACTATAGTTGTTATAGCGCGACTGTTGAAGTTGAGTGTATCGTAAAGTTGTATTCGGAAAGAATAAACCAGTTTTATTAAGTAAGGACTTCTGTCGCTAAAGTTTCGTCGTAACGAAGTTACGGAAAATCAATTAACAAACGGAGACGTAATAAATTGGTGTCAGAAATTAGGATAAAAAAAAAGAAGATGGAAACGAGAAGCGGCAAATCAAACTACAGTTTAGCAGATTTGATGGCAGCAATACAAAAACAGCAAAAGAAACAAGAAGAGAGATTACAACAGTTGTTAGAGGAAAAAGAAAAGAAACAAGAAGAACGAGAAAAGAAACAAGAAGAAAGATTACAGCAGTGGCAAGAAAACCTACAACAATGGCAGCTTGAACAGCAAAATAAGCAAGAGAGATTACAGCAGTTGTTGGAGGAAAAAGAAAAGAAACAAGAAGAGAGATTACAGTAGTTGTTGGAGGAGAAAGAAAATAAACAAGAAGAGAAATTACAGCAGTTGTTAGAGGAGAAAGAAAATAAACAAGAAGAACGAGAAAAGAAACAAGAGAGACTACAGCAGTGGCAACTGGAACAAGAAAGGAAACAAGAAGTACAAATAGAAAACATTAGTAAATTTAAAAGCGAATTAGATACGTTAAAGGACGATCTATTGTCTTTTACACAAGGAGGATACATTGATCATCGACTTAATCAGCCCCAGACAATGGCACGCCCCTTACAGAGCCCGCAGCTGAACCCT